TCTTTCTGCTCTACTGAAGACAAAATGTCAAATGGGTTCAGAGTAAATTATTTTCTGGATGAATTAACCCTTTAATATGCTTCTCAAAAATGTTACTGTAACAACATAATGACTTAAGGTGATAATACACGGGGCAACTTTTTGAGCAATGTTGCTGGGCAATGTTGCTGTCAACGGGCAACTAGGTGAGACATAGGGCCCATGACCGATCTAAAGTATCCAGATAGAATTTTGTTGCCCATTCTCAATAGGAAAGTGCCCAAGCAACATCGCTCGGCATCACTGCCCAGCAACACTGCTCAAAAACTTGCCCCGTGTATCATCATCACCTTTAAAGTGGGAGCAACATAGAACCTAAGACAAAAGTTTCTGCATGAAAAACACTTTTCTGTAAGTTTATGAACTGTGTTGCCTCTGTAAAAATCACAAGACAAACTACTGAAGAAAGTGAATAACACAAAAATGTTCCATCTTTGCCTAGTCAGTGAACCACCACATGCTGGCTACAGTGGTTCTCAACCTTTTTGACTCCAAGGCCCATTGTTCACATTAATATATGAAGGCCACATGACTTTTCCAATCATTCATGATTTAGCCTATATTTTACTCACAATTTCTACCTGACAAAATATTTTGGAGCTTGGCATAACTAGGAAAATGGATAATCAAAAAAATGGCCATGGAGTTATGCTATTTCATTAATTTACATGACTTTTCCCGGAATAGAAATCACACTTTTTAAATGAGGCTTCCTCATATATTCTAGTTTTCTCAGAACACGTGCACGCTGATTTTTTTAAAGAAAAAATACAGGTGCATCTCAATAAATTAGAATGTCGTGGAAAAGTTCATTTATTTCAGTAATTCAACTCAAATCGTGAAACTCGTGTATTAAATAAATTCAATGCACACAGACTGAAGTAGTTTACGTTTTTGGTTCTTTTAATTGTGATGATTTTGGCTCACATTTAACAAAAACCCACCAATTCACTATCTCAACAAATTAGAATACTTCATAAGACCAATAAAAAAAAATATTTTTGTTGGCCTTCTGGAAAGTATGTTCATTTACTGTACATGTACTCAATACTTGGTAGGGGCTCCTTTTGCTTTAATTACTGCCTCAAAACTTTTCCACGACATTCTAATTTATTGAGATGCACCTGTAGGCCTACTTATTGAGGGAGTAAATTAAAATAAGAAATATCTTGATTTATGGTTGTTTTATCTTATTTCAATTCTTCTGTTGTCTTATTTTAAATAATTTCAAGTCATCTTAAGGCCCCCTTGAAAGTTTGCTGAGGCCCCCTAGTGGGCCCCGGCCCCTTGGTAGAGAACCACTGGGCTATACTCTTAGAGCCAATAGTCTTAAAGTTATTGCAACCCTTAACAAAACTCAACAGGAACGTTCGACATTGCACACTTGTGTTTCATCAAAACATAGGCAATGAAATTTCCTCCTAGTTCTGATGAGTTACAAATCTGACTGTTAAGGTCTGTTTACACCAAGAATGTTATACTGATATCATTATAGTTGTGGTGTGGACATCTCTATTCTCATAGAATTAAAATGATTATTAAAAGTTATTATTTGTATCATTATAATTTTGGTTTGGGCATCTCTATCCTCAAAGTATTAGAATGATTATTAAAACTTTATGGTTATAGTTATTGTCCTTGGTGTGAATGGGCCTCTACTCTGATTTTAAAAATGTCCATACAGCATGTGAGACTGAAGACCAGCAAACGTGTGGCAGGGCTCTACAGTGCGACCATTTCAGTCGCATTTGCGACTGAAAACTACTGCGTGCGACTATGAAAACATATTTAGGAGCACCAGTGCGACTGACCAGATCATCATCATACTTGTGATTGTGATCGCTGAGGGGAGCTTCAAAGGTTTCTACGTGTTTTTGCAGCGTTGAGTAATGTATCACAGACATATCTCATGAATCCTTTCATAAGCAAAGTGTAGACGGTGTAAATAAGAGATTCATTGCGCATTATAGAGAGCTTCGTTGATTATAAATGTGAGATCGCAATGAGCCAAGATGAGTGACAGCTTTTAATGATTTTTAAGGGAGTTTGTACATGTGATACTGATTTAATACAACAGTTCAATAGACAAGAAGTTAATATTAAGTGACTTACATTGTCTGACTATAACACTATGGTCTGATTTTGCTCTATTTCGTCGTCGAAAATAGCTTGAAACAAAGTCACAGCTCAGCCGCTGCGCATCTCCATTCAAACACAGCGGTG